GAAATAGTACATACGTTCAGAGAAAAAAATAAACAGTAAGAAATCACTAGTTGATGTTGTCGTTTTACAAATAGTTGTTCAAGGTACAAAAATGGAACATGTAAAGTGGGAATTCAAACAGAGAGACTGCAAAAAGTTCTAATCAACTGTCCAACAAAAACTTAGTAACATGGTTGTCAATCCTATACATTTAAACATACATGCAGTTATCCATATCTTCATTTATGTTTAGATTAAACAAACTAAAGCAGGTTAAAATCATTCTGAACAAAGAATAATAGTACTGCTGGATTTCACATCATGACACTCCGTGATCAGCACTGATTACTGTAGTGTCTTCTTTTTAAAACTGAATTTAAAGAAAAACTGAATTTAAACAAAACAGAAAACAGGTAAAAATAACACATAATTTCAAAGAAAAAAATAAACAGTAAGAAATCACTAGTTGATTACAGATTGTCTTCTTACAAATAGTTATTCAAGATGCTAAAAGTGGAGCATATAAAGTGGGGATTCAAACAGTGAGACTGCAACCAGTTCTGTTCAACTATCCAACAAAAACTTAGAAATATGGCTATCAATCCTATACATTGAAACATACATGCAGTTACCCATATCTTCAATTATGTTGACATTGAATAAACCCAAGCAGGCTAATATCACTCTTCAGACTGTTCACAAAAATAATAATATTGCTGGGTTTCACATTATGACCCTCCAGGATCAGCACTAGGTATTTTAGTGTCTCTTTTTCTTCAAAGTATCTGTTCATTTCATCATGTGTCATAAGATCAGTTCTCATAAACTGTTTATAGATTCTACACATGCATGAGTCTTAATATGTATTTCTTTTTTTTTAATTTTGAAAGTAGTAAAAATACAACAGCACAAGACAGAACAAAGTCAATCAAGACAATGCAGTGAAATTGGTACAGGATTCCATAGTAGGATACTGGGATAGTAGTAATAAGTACTATGGTATATCTCTTTAACTTAACAATAGTTGTCCAGTCAATTAAGTATTGAAAAATCAAACCAAAAATAGAACATTATAAAACCAATTGAGAATACTGAATAGAGCAAAAGAAATATAACAAAAAGTGAAAACAACCTATGCCTTCGAACAGAAGGTAGAAGGAAATCCCCCATATTTGCTATACTGCATATGATCATCCTCCCAAGAGATGTTGAAACATCTATCCCTAGTAGCTATGGGCAGGCGGGAGAAGGGTGCTTGATTTTCAGCCTGTGTGGCGGTAGGCTCACAGGTAACAAGAGGGCGGGTGAATTAGCTGCCTGAGTCCCTCCATGGCTGGATCTTGAGAGTCAATTCTCCATCTGACCCCCGCTACAGGTGTTTACCAAGAGGGCGGGTGAATAAGCTGCCTGAGTCCCTCCATGGTCAGATCTCGGGAGTTGATTCTCTTCCTGGCCCAAGCTGCACCCTCATCTTCTAGTTCCTGAGGGGCAGGGAGGTGGAAGCAGGAAGGCAGAGCGCTCACTTTCCACAGAACTGGTTGGAGTGAGTCTCAGGGTCTTTCATGGCCTTGAAGGATGGGCTCCTCCAAGTCAATTTGTATGTTCATTCTTCCATTAAACATTTGCTGGACAAGTGTCAGGTATTATGAGAGGCACATAATAAAGATTAAATGACTTTCTCCCTCAAGGACTGTATTGCAGATGAAAACATATTGAAGCCTCTATCTTCAGGAGTGGCTGGCTAAAACATCCGACACACTGAGCTTTCAGCAGCTCTGACAACACACACGAATCCACTGGCATTTTACAGACTTGAGACACAGAGTCATGGGTGACCTCACAAAGGATATTCCCACTTACCATGTAGACTACATGAATGTGTAGTGGTAATCCTAAGAAATACACAGTGGTAATTTAATTCTTTCCAGGATTCTGGTCCAGAATTCATTCCACAATTCTGGTGGGATATGTTTGCAATTAATTTGCAACTAGAATTCGTGGAAAAAATTAAGCTAATGGACTGAAGTACCACTGTACTAGGCATTGCAAGATCACTATCTTAGGACTTCAGTATACATTGTGTTACTTGGTTTTTGCAATAATTTGAATAAGCATGTGATATTACTTTGTCCACTTTACAGTTGAAGAGATGAAGGCTATTCAGTAGAGGGAGAGGGCCCATCCTAGGGGTCCTAGGGGAGCACTGGTCCCACAGTATAGCCCCTGCCCTTACCTACTCTGCTACACTGCTCTCCACACTGGGGATGTGACTGGGGATGTGTACATTTATAAACTCCAGTTCTGGAACCAGTGGTCCCACACTACCAGATTCCTAAGTATGCTCACTCTACAGAAACAATGAAGGCTATCAAACTGTAGCAAGGGCAGAGGCTGACCATTGGTTATCTGTCATAGAATTTTCTTAGGCTTGGAACCTGAGATGGTGAGGGAACAAGTGACATGGAGCCGGCTGCCTGATGGTAGGTGGAGAATTCACAAACTTGGGCTGCCTTCAGAAAAGGTACTCTATTGGACAGATTTCCCTTTTTTCCTATTTTATTTTTACTTAAGGGAACTTAACCACCATGGGAAGCCTGCTCGCCATAGAGTCAGAGTGCCCAAGACAAGCCAACACAGCATTGTAATAGCTCCAGGGAAACCACAGCCCAACTCAGCACCAAAAGGAAGAAGGCTGTATCTTAAGGCAGGAAGTCACATCCAGTACCACTGTGCTGCCACCTCTTTCTTGGGATGTATGAGAGCTTTGTTTATGACCCTTAGAGCACATACCAAAGTGACTCTCATTCATAATGCTTGGAAGCAGGATAAATAGACCTTCCTGGAAGGTCAGTCCCTAAAGCGACTTTTCCACCACACTATGACCCTCCCAGTTCATTTCAATCATGTGACTTTCCAAAATGGGCCAAGTATTTACAAAGTGCTACTCCTAACAAGATGTGAGCCATGATATAGTAAAAAAGGCCAGATCCTAAAAGGTCCATGGTTCTCAATTTGTAGCTTAAATTGATTACTGATCTCCCATATCTGAGTGCTCTGGTATATCGTAATTTCCTATATAGCACGATTGATCAAGTACCAAGTCTGTGTCCCAGGGCTTCTCTTGACACAGTATAAGTGACTGATACAAAATAGTATCAGAGTATAAGTTTTTGAATGGACAGATGAATAAATAAATGCATATTCAAGTGAACGTACGTGTGCAGATGTGTAGATTACTAATAAGTGCAGAAAACAGAGATATTCCAGCTAGAGACAAGCAATATATTTAATATCTTATTTTGCTAGATCTTCATTTCCAGCAGTATAAAAGAATAAAATGAAATGTATCTCCTGATAGTGTTATTGTTCACATGTCTGCAAGTGCTCTCAGTAATCAACAGGGTAATTATTTTTACTTTATCTGCTGTATTTTTTGGAAATGAACCTTTGCCTGTGAACATAAACAACCACTGCCTGATCCTTCCACTCAAGGGAGAGAGCAGATCAGTGGCTGAGATGGGTGGGATATGCAGAAAAACAGAGATAGAAAACCTATCTTAAAGAGAGGCTTGTGCTGCAATTTGAGTTTGTTCATCAAAATTCATGTGTTGGAAACTTAATTCTCAAGTTTGAGTGTAGATGGGTGGTCCTGGGGTGGGGGGTGATTAGGAAGACATGAGGTCACAAAAGCATTAGTGCCTAACACTGGTGTCTTTATGAGAAGAGAAAGAGTGGTCCAAACTAGCACAATTTCTCTGTCTTGCCCTGCAATATCTTCCACCATGTTATGCAGCCAGAAGGCCCTCAACAGATGCCAGCAGCATGCTCTTGGGCTTCTGAGCCTCCAGCACCAGGGAGCAAACTAAGGCATTTTGTGGTATTGCATTCTGTATAGAGTGGGAACCCATCTTGTCCAAGTAGAAAACACAAGTTCCCATCCTGGAAGAAAGTGTCAAACCTTACTATGGAATTTAGAGAATCGGAGACAGAAGTACTGGTGATGAAAGAAAGCAAGAAATGATTGTACTGTTCCAAGCCAACACTTCCTTAGCAAAGTGCTAAGTGAAAGGGGCCAGTTCTTACACTACCAGCAGCAGCATAGGAAGGATGAAGATGAAACTTCCTTCTGGATGGTGGACTGGAGAGGGGAAGAGACTGTATTTGGGGTTTAGCTGGAGTTCTAGCAAGAAAGGGACTCTTGGAGGGAGCTTGAGTTCAGCTTGCCTCTTCCTATTCTGTTCCATATAGCAGCGCCTTCTACAGGTGCTGGGGACAGTGCTCTAAGAATCCGTGGAGCCTATACCCTGACGAGTGGTAGGAAGGTTCCTGGTACGTGGTGAGAACCTGGAGTGGGGCACCAGCTTTCCCAGTCGGTTCTGGAAAAGTCACTGTTCTCACTTTGGTTTCATGGACTCTATAGCAGGAGAGTGAAATGGTTATCTGACTTTCACCAATGTATAGTATTTCCCTTTGTCCTCTTTTCATTTTAAATTCAAATAAAATCCTTACATTGCTTTGCTTTAGTTTATTTTTTGTTTGTTTGGGTTTTTTGTTGTTGTTTTTTGTTTTTTGAGACAAGTTTTCACTATTCAGCTCAGGCTGGCCTTGAACTTATAGCAGTCCTCCTGCCTCAGCCTCTTGACCCCTGGGGTAACAGACCTGCATGACTATACCCAGCTATTGTATTATTTGAAATGGCATGAAAAACTTGGGCTCCTATATTTGTAATACTCATAAACACCTATTTATATATTCTTTCATCTAACTATATATTCATTGAAGTATATCAAGAACAGTGTTCCCCAAATTTCCCTCTGTTGAAAGATTCTGGCTCACTTATCCAAATTTTAATAATAAGCATATGTCATTTCCACAATTGTAACAAAGTCCATTGTTTGAATATTAAAATGCAATCAAATGCTATTAGTGATCTAGGTAGGGGGAAGAGTGTGACTGTGGCAGGTGAGGGTCTGTTATCTATTGCTGTCTCAGGTTTCTGGGTGCCATCCTTTTCTCTGCAGGTACCAGACGTGCTCCAGCAACGGACTGGTGGCGGGATTCCAGAGCCGGTACTTCGAGTCAGTGTTGGACCGGGAATGGCAATTTTACTGCTGTCGTTACAGCAAGAGGTGCCCATATTCCTGCTGGTGAGTCTGAGAGTCAAATCCAATCTCTGGCGACCCATGATGCTAGAGTTGGCTGAGTGTAGCTAACTTGTTCAGGCTGAACTCAAACTTATGACCCTTCTGCCTCAGCCTCCTTGAGGGCCCGGGTTACAGGCATGTGCCACTGTGCCCAGCTTGGGGTGCCAAGTTCTGAGCTGAGCCTCTGAATCCTTATGCTTTTTCTCTATGTAATGGAATTTTCTCATTACAGCCAAGGCTACAAGACCTGTTTGAGACTTATCATTCTGCAGTCCCTCTGGAAGAAGCGTGGCTAGAGTTTAGTTTAGTTACAGAGAAAAAGATGCTTCCATTTCTTCATGAATTTGCCATCAGCCCCTATGCTTTGCTGCTTTTCTCCCTATGGCTTCTACCAACTTCCTCCTCTCCAGCTTCCTAGTTGAATATGAGAGTGTATATATATTTATTTACCATGATAACTCATAACATGACTTGTTTCAAGTCCTTTGGTGAGGCAAACAAGTCAGGCATGTCTGTCAACCTCTGAAGATTGGCTCACCCAAGTGATTTATCTCTGCCCAATTTAATTCTTGTTCTCTACAGCCAATGTCCCTGCACAAAACCCCAAAAGGCCCACACTGCCCCTAGGGAAGCACTGTTTCTTCAAAAGTCACAACAAATAGTAAACTCCAAGCTCAAGGTCAGCTGGTACTGTAGCTTCAGGAGGGAGCAAGACTTTCATACAGGAGACTTTACTCCATTGTAGGAAGTGAGCAGGCGTGGCTAGGGTGGATGATCAAATTGTGATAGGTCCTGGGTCAAAGACCTAAAAGTCTACCTGGGTGAGTAGGGGGAAGAAGGCTGGTGTGGGAGGAAAACATTCATGAATTTCTGTCTGCACTGGCAGCTCCTTACAACCTTCTCCTTCTGTTTTCCCTTCCTCCAGAACCTTCTGTAGCCACGACCTCTAGCAAACACTTTCTGCCTCCAGACTCTCAGTTTATCACTGAAAATGAGAGCTGCTTTCTAAATTTTACAAATTCTGATAAACCATTGGCCTTTTCTCCAGGGGGGAATGTACTTAGCATGCTCATGCAAAGTTTACTGAAGGTGACGAGAGTCTTCCAGCTCCCCAAGGTGGTTCATGGACACACTATTAAGGATCCTTGCACAGCTCAGATTGAAACCTGCAGGACCGTTAGATCCTTGGGGTGCTGTGAGTTCCTGAAATGTCTCCACTCCAGAGATGGCTTCGCAAAGGGCCATGCAGAGGAGGAGATGGGTTTCAAAGATGAGAGGGCAGGAGCCTGACTGCCTGCTGTGGCGTGAAGGATCTTCCCCCTCGCCCCGCTGAGCATCTGCCACCAGAAGGGCACTTCCTGTAATGAAATAGCTCCCTAGCAGGGCTCTGATGCCAGTGAAAATGTCAATAAAAGAGCAGGCAAAAACTAGCACTCAAGATGTTCCTGCAAACGGCACACTATTGAGTTTTCTCGTTGTGAAACAAGAGCACATCAGGATTGGGGCCCGTGTGGCCCAGAGCAGTGAGTTCAGGAGCAGGAGGAAGGGTAAGCAGACAGAAGGAAGCTCTGCGGGTCACAAAGGGGAGGGTGGAGGATCAGCAGCCTCAGGCACAGGAGGAACCGGTGTACGAAGCCTGTGCCCGTCCCTGGTCTCGCACACACACACACACTCACACACACACACACACACACATACCCAGAACAGCATTTCCACTGCACTTGAATTCTCATCCATGGCTTCCTCTCTCTACCTGGACTGCCAGTATCTTGAGGTAGGAGCACCAACCTTGGTATTGCTAATGCCTAAGACAGTACGTGGAACACAGTGTTGCTAATAATGTGCAGTTAAATAACCCTAGAGGGCATGCAGCATACAGTGAGATGTCCCAAGGAATATGGTTTTTTAAATTTCTTTAAATTCCACTCCCCCATCTACCTACCTCTGCTCTATAATATCAGCCCTACAGAAGCAGCGATCTTCATACTAATGTATTCAAAGCTCTTCCAGTAATGTAAGACACACAGCAGAACATTTGTTAAGTGAATGAAAGACTTCAAATTGCTGGTTGGGTTTTGAGAATTATGTGAGATACCTGCCTGGCACTGCCAATGGTAAAATGGAGCTGCTCAGTCTTAAAGCAATGTATCAGTCCAATTTCCATTGCTGAAACAAAATACCTGACATTCACAATTTAAAGGAGGTGCAGCTTATGTTTAACTCATGGTTTCAGAAGATTTAGTCCATGGTCAGCAGGTTCCAAGGCAGGTACATTGTGACAAAAGGGCATGGTGGCACAAAGCCACTCACATTATGGTGGTCAGGAAGCAGAGCACATAGGAATAATGCTAGAGAAGAAGGAGCTGGGGCCAGACATAGTCTTCAGGGTCAACCCCAGACCAGCCAGAAGTATTTTACTAATCTGCTAGGAGTTTGCCCAGCTAATCCAGTTGAAAACCAGAATTAACCTTCATAGTGTCCCTCCAATTGAGGAAGAGACCAACCTCTACACCAGAGAACAAGATTTCCAAGGGTAAATTGTGCCCAGGAACAGGTCAGATCCTGGCCCTGTAGGGAGCAAAACTTATCACTGGAATTGGATATGCAGAGATACAACGAGTGGGTCACCTCAGAAAGTCTGTTAGGGTACACTGACTATTCTTCCCCAGGCAAAGGAGGAGGATCTGGGAAGCCACACTCCGCATTACTAAAGCCAAAGATCTCTGTGAGGATGAATGAGAGTCTGCCAAGCAGAATGACAATGGGGAGCAGGCCTATGGCTTTGGGTGATCAGTCAGACAGGAACCTAAGGCTCGCTGATTTAAAGAAAGCTGTCAGACTACAGAGGTACAGAGTAGAGGGAACTAAGGGTAGCACTAAGGAGAGACACCCAAATCTTCTTTTCCTCCTATGTTCAGCAGATCTCTGTGATCTGTGTTAAAACTCCAAGCATTTTTCTTGAAGTTTACTCTGTTTACTTGGATGCCAAGACCTGAAATGGATAGGTCTTTATGTCTCAATTTCCACTATTGTTCTAGTGATGCTCCAGACTCATTAGACCGTGTTCAGTAGTCACCTGGGGCTGGTTCCGGCTTATCACAAATGCTAGATGCCCTTCCTCTCACATAATTTAGAAAGGACTATGCCATCTCCCTTAGATACAGCTTATGCATTAAGATGCTAAGAATTTCATGAGTGTGCCGTCTTAGTTACTTTTCACTCATTGCTGAGACAAAATAACTAATGCCCAAAGTTAGGGGAAAAGGTCTATTTCTTACAGTTCTTGGAGGTTTCAGTACACAGTTGGCTCCAAGGCAACGTGGTAGAGCAATCATTCATGGCTGCTGCAAACAGCAAAGGAGAAACTGGCAAAAGAGAGAGGCAAACCTTCTTCCCACCATTACAGACTATCCTGGCTCCACCCCTAGGCAGATGTAGCACTCACACCACCAATCAGAGCGCCAGACAATGAACCAATCACAAATGCATGATTACATGAGGCTTGGGACACTGCCATAAATCATGACATTCCACCCCTGGGCCCAAAAGACTCACATCACTTATACAAAAGACATTTAGTCCATCTCCAAGAATTGCCAAAGTCCTAACAGTTTCAGCCTTGCTGAGAAGGCCAAGTCCCAAGGATTGGGAGCCACTGACATAAACCATGACATATGCAGGTTTAAGACTTTGTAGGAACAAAGTCTTACTGCTAACAGTTGACAAATAGCCTCAAATCCTTCCTCTTCTCCCACTAAACCCCATGCTTAGACACACCGTTGTTTGTCAGAACCATCAGATAGAGGAGAGAACTGCTTGGAAAGGCATGGCAACTCACTTCTAACACAAACCCCACTAACCTTTGCTTCAGTTTGGTTGGCTTTATTTTTGACAGCTTCATGTTAGAGCCAAGAGATACCAGGGTGGCGAAAGCAAATGGGGCTTTTTCAAAAAGAAAAGGCAAAAATAAAAGAATGTGGAATACGCACTAAGCACCACAGCGCAGTGTATGACTCACCATCCCACAGGTGTCTAGACATTTTAGTGGCATCCTTAAATTTCCTGAGTCCTGTTACTTTATGTCTTTCTAAATTGAATGAAGCCTCCAGGGCATAAATTAGGTCTTCCTCTTTCAACATCTGTACATATTGCCTGCTACAAAACAGACCCCTAATAAATTTGCAAATACCTGCACATTTCAAACCCCCTAGGAACAGGAAGAATGGTGAAACCTGCTTTTGCTCTGATGATGTTTTGTAGGTTATAAACATTTATTTGCTCCACATTATTTTATTTGATCTTTTAAAAATCCCTACAGATTGAAGTGAGAACTCTTTCCAACACCTTCCCGGATTGAAGGTGCTGATTATATTCTTATTTGAAACTCTTCCTTCCATCACTTTAACTGGCTTGAATTACCTGCCAGGGAACTGACACTCCTGGGTAGGAACCACTCTTTTCCTCCTCCATTTTGGAAGATGCTCTGCAGCACTGTTGTGAGCTAGTTTAAGGATTCTGAAATATTAAAATGATGGGCTGGAAAAACCAAATCACCAACCAACTCCCAAGTGAGAATAGGATTTATTTGTTTGTTGGGAACCAAGATACTGCTTCATTTCAGTGTGAGTAGCTCCCTGGTGGCTATGATAGCATCACTTCATTCTGGCAGGAAAGTGAATTCCTGTTAGATGCGGACACACTGTCCCCACTGGATTAGACGACTATGTAAATTTTACACATATTTATTTATACAAGAAAATTTCAAATTCTTAGTCTAGTAGTCTGTAAACCACAAACACATGTCAGTGGAGGAGCCAAAGTCCTTCAGAGATGAAGTACTTGTCCCTCTCCAAGGAGCTTCAGCTCTTACACAGTGTATTAGTTTGTCTCTTGAATGGCACAGGCGTGTGTCCCAGGAATCAAGAGTTTTCAATTGAGCAACCCCTTCTTCCCCTAAATTATATTTCTTCCAATCCTTGATCATTCATTAGGGTCACTAGACA